TGATCCACATTCCATGTAATAGTTTTTGTCCTGCAAAATATGGATGAAATATCTTGTTATAAAATAAACAAATAATGTAATGCATTTTCTGTGAAAATACATTAATAAAATGCATGGCGCATGAATGAAAATGAAAGTACAATACGAAATGTATCCTTTTAAAACTTTCAACTTTTTACAAGTTTAACATGAAATATTGAACAGCAGTTACAAGTTAATTGTTATGCATATTCACAATACCTTGAAACCATAGGATGCTTGTTAGGCATAACATGTGTAAGCTCTATTGCCTCGTTATCACTAAAATGTAATTTTTTGTCCTTCTGAAATTGCCTAGATGGTACAAGCAACTGTCCATAAGATATTTCCTGAACAAAAAAAAAAATTCATTAAGTTAACTTGCAATAGAAACACTTAAAAAGTTATTGCAAATGTATAAATCAGATACCTGGCCGTCTTTAGCACGCTCTATACCCAGCAAACCAAAAGGATCAATGTTATCATTGATTGCAGATAATGGACGCTGTGAAGAAATATTTTTTCTTCTTCCTGTATCTTTGCGCAATTCAGACCTGTAAACACAAAGATTTATTACAAGATTATTTATACTATTCAGCACACTTGGAACGCGCTGCGCGATATAAATTTTATTTACATACCAACTAGATCTTTGTCCTTTGTTATATGGAAGAGCAGAAAATACTAAGAACGGTACACGTTTGTTAGAAACCAAAACTAGTCTGTCATCTCCAAATTTGTAGCTGTTTATGGGATGCTGCATTAAACGCAATTCTCTTGTAACTTCTGGTATAATACCACTGTTTGTACATCCAGATTGCATATTATTTGTTGCCTTTGTTTTAGATTTAGAAGATTGTGATTTAGAACGTACAGAGCCAATGCTTTCATTAGAGCTATTATATTGGTGCTTAATATCTTCGGAAAGCGTAGATGTTTGATGAGTTATACGTTTTTTATATTGTAACGAGCCTACTCGTCTTTCAGGTAAAGAATATTCGCTGCCAGTAGTGCCAGTACTGAAAAACAAAAGAAATACTCTACACTACATAAATACAAAAAGTTTACTATTGAAATTACTATTTCTTCAATTTTGTTGGTATAATTAAATATATATATATACATTTACTAGGAAGTAACATAATTATAGCACTACAATTACTCTACTTAAGTTAATGTAAACAATATTAAACGATAATAACATGTGCTTCATAAAACGAATTGCATTCGGTAAAACTAAATACGATATAAATTGCACGAATAAAAATGTATAGGCGAGCAAGTAAAAATACATGGAATTTTGTGTTACTCGAAAGCATTATATTTACTCTGCTTTCTAATTTTTCGAAATGATAACTGCTTAAACAAGTACCCTAAATGCAATCGTATTTCCATAAACTACGAAATAAGAAACTGCTGAAACGATAACATGAAATTACAAGGCGTACCGAAGTACGCATAAACAACTGTTTACCGTTCTCTAAACGAACTATGAAGTCCAGACGATATGTGAGGATAGCTTCTTTCCTGTTCAAGAAAAACAGCTACCATCGCCTTCGCAGGTGTTAACACTCCATCTGAATTTGAGCTAAATGAATTGTGTTCAGCATTTTGTTGCACTAGCTGAGGTGACGATGATTGTTTCGCAGATGGATGTGTTAAGTGCTCTTCTGCTCCATCATCAAGAACTTCCTCGCTGGAAACGTCCAGATCGGTTTGACGAACATCTGCCTGATGAGCTTGACTGTCGCTGAGGGTACGAGTATGAGCAGCACCATTTCGCGATAGAACGGCTAACTTGGTGTCACGGTGGCTGCCATCGAGGGAGATGTTCGAAAGAAACGTTAAGGCGGCCAACCTTCTACGTGAATTATTCTTTTTTAAGGCTGCTGCCATTCCACGGTTGACCGTGTCGAGGGACCGGCGTTATCGAATACCAACGCAAACGACCAGGAAAGGGATAAGTGCCCGACAAGGACTCTTTTATCAAACGAGGACAACTACTAGGATCACAACTCATTGTCACAGCTCGTACACTTAGTCCTGACATTTTCCATCAATGTGCTTGCACAGTGCACGTACCAACGTGAACCGGTGTCACTCATCATCATACCGTTTTCTCTCATAAGATTAAAAAACAATTCCTGCCACCAATGAAACAACCTTCCTTCCTACTACGCAACACAACGACCCATCCTCCTCTAGGCAGCCAAGTGATATCTTATCTCGTTCTGCGGCTGCGCATATTCATCCTACATTAATTTAGGCATACATACATGTAGCATTTTCTAGAAAGTTAACCCCTCTGTTTAAATCAATCGTATTTTCCCTAGGAAAATTTTGATATAATATGAATTATAGTTTCACAAATTAATTTCGCATGAACGTGTGTATGTATTATTATTATATTTAGAGGTTAACGTGGCAGTTAAACATTTATTGCGCATTACGATTGTCATCTTATCTCGTAAATTTTTTGTATTAAAAAAAATATACGTACACACAACATTGTGTTACGATATTATTATTATAAATATGTTAGTCATAACAAAATATTATAGTTACAAAGTTATGTTTAATATTTAACAGAATTATAGTAATTTAAAATAAATTAGGACAAAATATACTTTAATGTTTCTACTTAATTATTTACAATAACGAAGTCTTACCTTTTAATAATGCTGGCAGTTGATGATACGAAATTTAAACAAAAATCCGCCGATGTACTGGCAATTGTAAATAAAACTTTTTTTTTTAGATAGAATAGATAAATCATACGCTTTAATA